TTTGGGATTTGGGATTTGGGATTTTGGCATTTGGGATTTTGGCATTTGGATTTTGAATTTGGGTGGCAGGTATAGTAGTATTATGTTGTTTATTTTTTTTCTAATTATTTGTATACTCTTCCATTAGTTTTTGGTGGTTTAGTTTTAGGTCACAAAGTGTAACTTGTTTGTAATATGCATATGTATTACAAAATTTTTGATATAAGTTTTGAAATTGTTTAAAAAAAAAATCTTTGTGTTTTTAAAAAGCTTTGTATATTAATTTGAATTTTTTAAGAATATAAAAATGTGAAAAAAGTAAAAATGCGAAGGCACACCTTTTTGTAATAGATCTATAAGATCTACAATATACGCATTACCATGATAATTATCACTGACTACTTTATTTATAATATGCATAGAGGTAACAAATAAGATTGATTAATTATCTCAATTCATTCGAAACAAAAGAAATAAAAAAATTTATGAATTAAAAGTTATTTTATTTATATATTTTATTTTATTTTTATTTATTTAACTATTATTTATTTAACTATTAATTATTTATAGTAACCAATTAATCTAACTATTTAATTATTCATTAATATTTGCTTAATAATACAGTGGCTTCCAAAATAAATATACTACTTATATTATAAATTATTTTTTATATATAATTTTTTTATTTATAATAAATAATTTATTATACAATTTATAAATTATTAATTAAATTCAGATATTTTAAATTAATCAATTATTAATAATTATGTGATTTCCGTAAAAATCATGGTATGTTTATTTTGATATTTTTATAATTTTATCTTTATTTATTTATTTTATTGAAAATTACAATAAAATTATTATTTTTTTTTATATTCTAATAATTTATCATCTAGTATAATCACCTGATACTTTTAAAACATACTTTACTCATTCAGACATAGATTCTATTAGTTTGATACATGTATCTTTTGAAGTTTTATTTCAAATTTTAGATACATATTTCTATAATGAATCTTTACCTTGAATTTCAATATTTAATAATCTTAGATGATGATCAACATTATTTCAAAGATGTTCGATTGAATTAAGGTCAGGTGACTATGGTGACCAGTTTAAAATATTAATTTTATTATTTTCAAATCATTTCGCCATATGTTTTAAATTATTATCTTGCTAAAAAATTATATTTTCTACCTTTAATCTATAATATTCTAAGGTCTCTATAAAGTCTTCATTTAATATCTTACAATATAATTTGACATCAAGACCTTCATCAATCTTACACAGGTATCCTGTTCCTTTAGATATAAAATATCTCTATACAAAAACACTACCACCTCAAAACTTAATTATAGATTTAACAAGTCTATTATTAAAACCTTCTCCTTTTCTTTTCCAACAATATTGATATCTATCTGAACTAAATATTTAAAATTTAAATTTGTCAGATCAGATAGCCCACTTCCAGTCTTCAACAATCTAGTACTTATATTTTTTCACAAAAGCAAGATATTTTTTTTGGTGAATTTTGGAGAACAGAGATTTTTTTCGTTTAACTCTTATCATCATACCTTGTCTTTTTAGTGCCTTATATATAGTATTAGTACTAATATCAATATTTTCATTTATTTTTAGGAATTTTTGAAGTGTTACAGTTGTTGATACTTCATTTGTCAATATTTGACAAACGAGTGTCTATTTATCTCTCTTATTCAAAATCCTTTTCCATCCTTGGCTTTCTTTATTTTTGACTTTTTCTATTTTTTCATATTTCTTTTTTAGTCATAATATAGAAGAGTGATAAATATTTTCTAGTTTTTTGGTTACTTCTCATGAAATAAATTCAGTTTGGAGTAGTGCAATCGCATGTTGTCTTTGTTCAAAGGTTAAAGTTATTATTTATTAAAAAATAAGTGAATTTTTTTAAGTTAATTTAATGAATGTATTATAAAAATAAAATTTTCTTATTTAGCTTTTCAGTGATTATTATTGAAAAAAAAACTTCATTTAGAAGTTTTTTGGTGAAAAAAAAACTATCAAAATAAACACATTAAAATTTTTTTTATTATTATCAATTACTGGCCAATTATCATTCAAATTAGATGATAATGATTTACAGCATATGATTCAAGACTATAATTCATTAAAAAATTAATTTTTAACAAGTAAAATATAATAAAAAAATTAAATATTTTATAAAAATTAATTTTTTTATAGTAATGTGTTTATTTTGAAAGCCACTGTATATCAAGATTATTAATATATTAAAATTATTAATATATCATAATTATTATAATAAAAATTTCACATTTTAATATTTTATATATAATTTTCCTAGTTAATCAAATTGATTATCAGAGGAGAGGTGAGAGGTAAGCCTCATAGTAAAGAGAAATCAGCTAATTTCTGACACACCCCTAATTAGAATATCATTTTTCAATATTACTATTTATTATCATGTACCTGATATTTAAGACAATATCAGGGACCTGAGATAATAATAAAATTTATCTCACACTTATCACTATTATATCGGGTGCATGATAAAATTTATAAAATTAATTATTAGGTACTTAGTAATAATCAATCATATTAGATATCCAATAAATATCTGATATTTGAATTTTGACCTGTGAAAATCGTGTAACAAGTTGTTATATATATATTTATTTTATTAATATTAGAAAAACAATTTAACTATTATTTTGAAGCTTATAATAAGAGCTTTTAAATGATTTTAGAATTTATATTTAATAACAATTATTTAATAAATTTTATAATTGTGCCAGCCAATTAGAATTGCACTATTATTTAACTTTTGCACTATAATTTAGCCTTTGTACTAGAATTTAGTCATTGTATCAGATTTCACCAGAACTAATTCCTGGGTTTAATTGGCTAAATTAAATCTTGTTAAATTCCTAGCTCAATTCATATTGCACTTACCATTTCTAGTTCTAGTACACTATAAGTAAGAAATATTCAAATAATACACTAGAATGTTACATTCTAGTATGTTATTACTGTTCAAATAACACTATAGAATGGCATTCATATAGTGTTGTAAAATGTTTTTATTTAATTCCTGATGAATTTATAAAGTGTGTTTCATCTATAAATCTCAATTTCTGAAATTTTCATGGTTAAATAACATGTAACTTTATGATAGATAAAATTTTTAAAAAGAAGTATTGAATAAAAAAACAGAAATTGTTGAATATAAAATTTTTTAAAAATAATATTTTAATTATTCTATTATTATTTAATCTATTACAAAATCTAGAAAAGTATAATGTGATTTATGTTTTTTGGCAGCATTATTTCTCCATTTTAATTTTAAGGGTTTGTCCTTCATTTGTTTATTAAATTACTATCATTATTTCCCTATTCTTTTAGATATTATTATTTACTTATGACAATCTAATCAAATACATTTAAATTATGTTATTGCATGATAATTTTTATTATTTTTAAATATTAATAATTCCGAAATTTGAGGTTTTTATTAATAAAATATATAAAAAAAATAATTTTTTAAATAATTGTAAATGATTTTTTTTTATTCCTTTTTTATAAAAGAGTTATAACATTTTTAAAGTTATATAAATTTTAGTTTTACATTATAAAGTCTGCTCAAATATACCCAGTCCAGTGACATGATAATGTCGTACAATATTAGAAAATAAATAGTTCCGACAATTAAAGTAAAAAAATTCGAGTTTCTATAATCAAAATACGTTATGGATGATTACCATATTTTGAAGGAGTTAGGCGACGGTACCTTTGGGACAGTAATACAGGCGCAACATAGACAAACTGGTCAAGTGGTGAGTTGAATTTTTTAATTTTGGCTGTTCGATGACAAGATAATCAAAGTTTCTGACGATGGAATATTTGAGATTACCTACGGTACAATAAATTTTATTTATAAAAGTATTAATGGGTATTAATAAGAGTATTAAAAGAACGAGAAATTTTTTTCTCTTATAGGTTTTGAAAGCTTGGTAATAACCCGACGTCCACAGTAACTTTTAAAGCGTCGAAGGAAAAAAAAATTTTCCGGGAAAATATTTATTAGTTGATTATCCCTAACTTTTTAATTTTAAATCATGTGAAAAGGTGGCCATAAAAAAAATGAAAAAAAAGTATTCATCATGGGAAAAAGTGTGTGAATTGCGCGAATTTAGGGTATTAAGTAATTTTAATATATATATATATATTTGTTTAGTAATTGTATAAAATTAAATTTACGCGATTTCTTAATTCTTTCTTAATTCTTATTACAATTGATAATAATAACAATCAGGCACTTAAAGCTTTGCCTTTACATCCCAACGTCGTTACGTTAATAGAAGCTTTTCTTCTACCACGTCCACGAGAGTTGTATTTTGTTTTTGATTATATGGAGGGAAATCTATATCAGTTTATAAAGGATAGAAAAGGACAACTATTGGATGCACACATTGTCCAGTCTATTATGTAAAGATTATTTTTATTTTTAATACTTGGATTTTTGTGAATAATGAACCTTTATTAGATTTTTACTATATTTGTTATAATTCACAATATTAATAATATTCATAATAGGTTTCAAATGTTAAAGGGTCTTTATCATATTCATTCACATGGAATTTTTCATCGTGACATGAAACCCGAGAATATTTTAATTTCTACCAAAAGAAAAATATGTCAAGATAAAAACTATGATCAAAATTATGAAAATGGATCAAAATTTTCAATTAATAATAATTATAACAATAATAGTAATAATAATAAATCAAAGTCAAATCAAAATATTCAGAATATGAAGACAAATGATGATGTAGAAGAATATATAGTAAAAATTGCTGATTTTGGGTTGGCAAGAGATATTGAAGTAAAACGTCCTTGTACAGAATATGTCAGCACAAGATGGTAAGTTATGGTATTTTATTTAATATATTAAAAGAACAAATGATATAATATTTTCGAGAATTTTATTACTTTTTTTTTTTTTGTATAGTTTTCAAACTGGAGAAAAAAAAAAACAATAAATAATTTGAAAACAAAAATATATGTTAGGTATCGTGCACCAGAAATTATTCTTCGGTCCAATACTTACTCTTCGCCAATAGATTTATGGGCAGCAGGTGCTATTATGGCAGAATTATTCACTTTAAAACCATTATTTCCGGGTAAAAGTGAAATTGATCAATTATTCAAGATTTCTGAAGTATTAGGCAGTCCATGTGAGCAAGCAGAACTTCCTGTAAAAATTGGTGAGATCTATGGAGGTGAATGGAAAGAAGGAATTAAATTAGCCAAATCATTAGGATTTTCTTTTTTGCGGGTAAAAATTACAAATTTCCATTACACAAATTCTTTACACAAAAAATTTACACAATTTATTTATCGTGTAGATACCACCTAAGCCACTATCTAAAATTTTTACTTCTGTTACTCCACCATATTTTATTGAATTTGTCTTACAATTATTGCAATATGATCCAAAACGACGTCTTAGTTCATTAGACGCACTTAAACACCCATATTTTGTAGAGAGTGATTTAATATTTGTGCCACCGTATGAATCTGAAGAAATAAAGGGTACAAGAGGAATGGAGAAAAAAAGAAAAAAAGAAAATTTTTTGTCATTTAGAAAGGGTGGAAATTTAATGCCTGGAGATAAAAAAAAACATAATCAATACTCTTGGAGTAAAGTATTTGATGAACCTTGTGGTACATTTCCTTTTAATTTGTTATCACCTTTAGATATGGAAGATGTGAATGAAGTTAGAGAAAAAGATTTTAAACTTCCATCAATTGAATCTGTTAGTTCATTTTCAGCTGAAGAAAAACCTACATTAGAACAAATGGAACAACAAATTTATAATAATAGAAATAATAATAATAACAATCAAAATGAAGTTCTTTATAATAATCATTTCTCTGAAAACATGACTAAGAATATAACTGAAGATTTATTCGTAGATAGTCCTACTAATATTTCTTCCAGTTCATTATTAACTAGTAATAGAAATATTTCAGCTTCGCGAGGAATATTTCAATTTTCAACAACTGTACATAAGCGAAATCGATCAAATACTATGAGTGAGGTTGATCGAATTGCCAAGGAGATTGAAAAAATAAATAGAGATGTTGAATCAACAAATTCCAATATTTGTTATAATAATAATAAGACCGCCGATGATTTTCAAAGATATCAACTTCCAGAAGATGTTATGAAATTCTTTAATATATCAGATGATTCGTCACCCTTGATAAAAAGATCATATAGTAAATCAAAAGATTTTATGAAAATTCATCGAAGATATTCATCTACTTCGGCGGCATTTCCTGGAGAGATTTCACCTTTATCATCACCAACGGTTGATTTTCAGATTCATCAAAAAAAACCATCTATTGCAAGTAGTCAAGATCATTATAGAAACGATAGTGGGTTTTCTACCAATAGTTCAAATAACAACTTGACAATTTCTTCAGTAGAAGAAAAAGTAAAAGAGAAGGAGAAGGAGGAAGAAAAAGATATAACTTTACCATCGTTTGCCACGAAACACTATGGCCATCATTTAAAGACATGGCAGGAAAGGTAATAAAAAGTTGTTTTTTCACACAATAATCTGACTTTACATAATAATAAATTTTAACATAATATTATTATGTACAGTGTGAACAACAATGATTCATTAGAAATCCCTATAATTCCCGAATTTCAACATAATCAACATTCAGGAAATGAACAAAATTCATCAACAAATGATAATTTTTTTACAAATTTGAAAACTGCAGTGAAATTTCATTCTACATTTTCACCTACTAAACGAACTGAAATAATATCTTCACATTCAGCGACATCATCATCATCATCATCATCAATATCAAAATTACGATCTAGTAGTAATGATGGTGGTGGTAGTTCTCTACGACGTGAAAAATTGAATAATATTAATGAGAATTGTAAGGTAAAACCCGTAATGACGACAAAGCGATCATTTATATTTGATGTTACTAAAGGAGGAGGAAGATTATTTTCATCATCGTCATCATCTAAAGAGTCACCTAAAGAACCATCAATATCAAAATTACGATCTAGTAGTAATGGTGATGGTAATGATGGTAGTTCTCAACGACTTGAAAAATTGAATGAGAATATCAAAGGAAAACCTGCAATGACGAAGAAACGATCATTTATATTTGATGTCACTAAAGGAGGATTATTTTCATCATCTAAAGAACCATCAATATCAAAATTACAATCTATTAGTAATGATGGTAATGGTGGTGTTGATGATGATAATTCTCAACGACGTGAAAAATTAAATAATATTAATGAGAATGGTAAGGTAAAACCCTCAATAACGAAAAAGCGATCATTTATATTTGATGTCACTAAAGGAGGATTATTTTCATCATCATCATCATCATCATCTAAAGAGTCACCTAAGGAAGAAGATTCATCGAATGATCCCAAAAAGTCAAATTTTAAAAAAGAGAGAAAACATACTAATTCTTCAGGTTTATTTTCTACATTGGGAGCAAAAATTTCGTTACATTAATTTAAAAGTAAAAATATCATAATATGTAATAGATTACTAATATTGAATCAAGTTCTATAATTTGTAAATGTGAAATTTAGCAAATAATGAAATAAATTGTGACCTGCATTGATTATTTATATTTGTTTAATTTAAATTATAAAGTGATAATTATAAATAAATAAATAAATAAAATCTAAGAAGAAAATTTATTAATCCATTCATTATGCCTTTTTACTAATTCAGGAATGATTTTTGCTTCAATATCTATCTCATTTATAATTTCTTCTTCAGTTAATTTTACTTGAAATTCGGAATCTTTGGTAATGAAAATTACTTCACGTTTACGAATTTCCAAAAGATTTCCAATAACTATTTGATGACCATATCGAGTGAGAGCGTACCTAGATTTATCAACTAGAAGACTAGAATCCGTTTCCAACTTATGAAAAATAAATAGTAAATAATTTAATAATAAGAAATAATTTAATTAATAATAATAATAATAATAATAAAATAAAATATACTTTGAATGAAACAATAAATCCATTAGGAACCCAATTCATAACCATTGGTTTTAGAAATTTGGGAACTTGATTCATTGTCAAAGTTAAATCACCTCCACCTGATTGAATTTTATGTTGTGACTAAATTATATAGATATTAAATAGATATTAAATAGATATTAAATAGATATATATAGATAAATATTAATAAATCTTATTTTTTTCATTTATTTGAATGAATGAATAGATTTAAGAATTTGTATAATTTTTACCATTTTTTGAGCTGGAATGAAAAAATCACTAACAGCTGCAGCGAGAAAATACATTGCATGCTCTTTCAATTTAGACATAATTTGAGTAGCACTGCGAAGAAGGAAAAGATAATCTGTCACAGTGAAAAAATCCAATATTAAAAGTGTTCCATCTTCTTTAACCTGAAAAATAATTAAATTATGAATAAATTATGAATAAATTATGAATAAATTTTGATATATTCATTAATATCTTTACTTGCCTTTTTATATTTTTCTAAGATAGATCTCATTTTTGGTGCATGATTGGAATTTACTAATTAATTTAATTAATTAATTAATTAATAAATTAAATATATAAATATTGTAAATTATAATAACATAGGGAATACACAATTTACCTTCAATTTTTCCATCTTTTTTCAATTCCATAAAATCCAAAAAACAATTTGTAGAATGACTGTAATGTCTAGTGTAAGGTTGGAAACTAAATTGTCTATGTGCAAAAATTACTGCATACCCAGATTCAAGAAAATATGTATTTTATTTTCAATTTTTTTTTTTTTAAATAATGAATAATGAATTATGATGATTTCATTCATTTGTTTCCCCGAGAATTTGATTAAAATTATCCAAGAATTTGAAAATAAAATAAAATTGAAGTAATTTATAAAAATTTATAAAAAATTTAAAAAGTTAAAGACAATGATAAAAATTGAACTTTTTTTTTTTTTCATAAAATAAACGAGTTTAAGGATATTCAGCTGAAGTTGCTCCACGAGTTCCTGCGCTAAAATTATCTAAAAATCTTACTGTATTATTCTCGAGTGGTACTGCAGTTCCTCCACTCTAAAAAAATAAAAAAATAAAAAAATAAATTTTAATTGAAAAATATAATATATAAATTGATCTTTCAAATATATAGATAAATATAAATATTTATACTTAACAGTAATCAAAACTATTCTTCTACCGGTTTTACTATTCCTGTTTACAAATTCTTCTATTTTTCTTTCGTCTTCTGCTAAGAATTTTGGGGGTTTATGTGTATCGAAATATGTATCAGGATCAATTACTTCACTTGTTCCATTATCTAACAAACCGCTTGTTGTTGAGGACGACATCCTATCATTTACTGTTACATTGAAAAAAAAAAAATTAAAGAATATATATAATATGTATAATAATATACATGATCATGCTTGCTTGAAGTTGAACGTAACTATGTGATTTGCGCAGAAATTAATAGGGTAATACGAAAAGGACGTGCTACTTGGGGGAGGGGTCTTTATTTTGAATCGCCCTGTTTGTAAAAAAGTTATTAATTATTGGCTACGTTAGGTAACAATTGATTGCAAATAGTAAAGAAATACCAAAACTAAATGCATCAAATAAGCTAATTATATATTCGTTTTTTTTTTTAGGGTTAGGCATATTGTTTTTATATTACTTGAGAAGTTATAGGGGTGTCTATCAATTTTGAACCCCTAAAGATTATTATTATTATTATTATTAATATGTTCCCATTTAACCTTTTTTTTTTTTTTTCATTAGTCGACTTATAACAAAATGAGCGAAGCAGATGGTATGCATTAATCAAATTCAGTAGTCTCGAAAATCACGTTTCGTTAGCCTTCGTTTTTTACTTTTATTCGATTGTATGTAGCACCAAATGGTGGTTCTGACCAGTTTTCGCAGGATAACGAAGATCGTCACCGAGATATTAACGAGAGACACCGCGATGAAAGGGACGTCCGGCATCACGACACTCGTCGACATGAAGACCGTGATGAAAGGATTAATACCCCAAGTCGCTCTCGTTCTAGATCTCCTCTGAATAGGTCTCGTTCACCCAGGGATAGAAGGTAAAAACTTATAATCATATGTATGATTATGTATGGATTACATATTTATTTCTTTATGGGTCGAAAATTAAAATTTCCTTTTTTTTTGTTTAATAATATATCCAGTGTTGGAGATAGGAACAATAGTGAGGAAGAAGAAGACTTAAATCCTGGAAACAATTTGTTTGTTACAGGATTATCCTCCAGAACTGGTGATCGTGAATTAGAAGACTTATTTTCCAAGTATGGCAAGGTAATTTATTTATCTTCATTAAATTAATTAATTTTATTTTTATTCAATTTAATTCATTTTAATTAATCTTTTTATATTTATTTTTAGGTCGTAAAGGCACAAATTATGTACGATCCTCATACTCACGAATCGCGTGGTTTCGGATTTGTGACAATGGAAACAACTGAAGATGCGGATATTGCTAGGGAAAATATTAATGGCACAGAAATTAATGGACGTGTCTTGACTGTAGAAAGGGTAAGTTAAAAGTCATGTTTTAAAATTTAATTATTTTCATATATATATGTATATATATATTAATGACTTTTAAATTTCTTGTAAAGGCACGTCGTGCTCGAGCCAGGACTCCGACTCCCGGTCGATACTATGGGCCACCTAAACGCCGAGGTAGTCATAATAGTTTCCAAATCCTTAATAATGTTAATAATAAATTCTAAAATTTTCTTTTATTGTAATAGAACCCCGTCGAGTCGATAGATTTGATCCTAGATATGAATATAGCAGTCGACCTTATGATCGTTACGAAAGACCACCAAGAGGAGGTGGTTATGGTCGTGAGCCTTATTATGATCGCGCATATGATCGATCTTATTACGATAGAGGATATGAAAGGAGTTATGACCGCGCCTATGATAGAGCTTACGATCGAGGATATGATCGAGATCGCCGACCGCCACCACCAACTCGTTACGAAACCTATCCTCGGCCTCGTTCACCATACAATTAAGTTATAACAGGAAAAAGGATTTTTTTATTTTTATAATTACCTTACAATTAGAAAAATATTCAGTGTACAATTTTCAGTATTTTTTTTTTTAAAAAGGATTTGTTTATGCAGTCAAATTTGTGTTTATTATTTCATTCCCCTTCAGATTGTAGGCAGCAAAAATTTTCAACTTCCGTGTTCAGCATTTCAGCTTAGCTTCAAAGAGTCAACACAAGGGTCAGCAATTTTTTCGATCTGTACATCGACTGGCAACTAATCAGCAATCAACAATAAAACGTCTCATAAACCGACGTTATCAGTTACAACCATTCATTCCCTATTCAACACATTAGTTTTCATCAATTCAGCAACATGTTTTATCACTAAACGATATTCATCAGATTCATCAGCATCATCATCATATTTGAAAGAATCAATTTGCGTAATTCAATACAATACAATATTTTTGTCATCAAACTTAAGCTGGATTATGACTGTATTCGTAAAAATTTTTTTTTTCTTTCAGCGATTTTTGTTTATTTTAAACCAAGGACAGGTAATTATTGTTTTTTTTTCGCAGTCGCATTAATTCTTAATTTTTTACAGATATTTTCGGTAAAGAGGAATATAAAAAACTTGCAGATCGCATATGATTCTATATAAACAAATCTATAATTTGAATGCCCATCATTAATCCCATAAAAATATTTATAATTTAAATTAGTAGAAAAGGTAAGCACAATAACTTTTTACTTGGAGATTCGAGGATTTAATTTAAGTTATTCAGGTTAAAAGTTTCGATGAATTTTTAAAATATAATAAATATCAGTAAAATCAATATATATATATGGTTTTTGTTTTTAGCATATTTGTATATATATTTTTTTTTGTTCTCTGCTATGAAATATGAAATGCTAAAAAATACATGTTTGAAGAAACTGTGATGTTATTCACACTTTACATTTTGTTGACTTGAATTCTTTATTGATGCAAATAAAATTAAAAGTACATGCGAGGTACAATTATAAGATACTTTATTTGACTTGCGAACAGATATTCAAATTAGGAATATAAGAAAACACAAAAGTGAACATCGAATTATGAATAAAATGAAATTGCACAAAAGTAATTGAAATTAATTAATTTGTAAAATTTAAGCATCTATTAATCCTTTTCATCGGAATTATATTTTCTTCATGAAAGGTGTTATTTGCTCGCAATTCTAAAGGCATTACATTTATCATCAGAAGCTGTATTTGGTTTGACCTTCTTTATGGACCTCATTTCTTGCATAATTCTTGTGATTTCTTCTTTACTTTCTGTTGACTTTGATATTGCAATACTACAAATCTCTTCAAATGCAAATTCAAACTAGTGCAAAGAAAAAACTAAAAATATAGTCTTTAATGACAATACATAATATGTAATTAATATATTATAACGCACAAAGTTGCGGCCACATGAATTTTCAAAAACCAGAGTCAGTTTCATAACTGACCTGTGAAGGAATAATCATCAAAAAAATTGTTTCCAAGTTTAGCAGCATTAAAATATTAAATAAAAAGAATCCTGAATCGATTTAAACCTCATGGGGATGTAGCTCAGTGGTAGAGCGTCCGCTTTGCATGCGGAAGGCCCTGGGTTCGATACCCAGCCTCTCCAAAATTTTTTTATATTTCAATATTCCTAGGGTATTCTAACAGTATGGGTGCCAAAGTGTTAAGTAGTCCAAAAGTTTCTGGTGTTAAAATTTATTCTTAATTTTTTTTTTTTTGAGTATTTTAAATTTAATTTAGCGTTAAGTTTAAAATTTAAGTTGTTATTGTTTATTTATTTCGAAACAAAGTTTATTTTTTAAAATAATGTTGTATATACTATTTTTTTGAATTAAAGTTATTATTATTATGTTATTTGTTTTTAGTTGTTTTAGTTGTTAAACTTATTACACTATTCATCACCGAATCAATTTTAAAATTGACAATTAAATTACTTTAAATATGATATATGGTTATAACCTTCTTTATCAGGATGATAATAATAATTTCTTGCTAAATGCTGCTTTTTTATTATTATAATATTTACAATGCAATATATAAAATGTGAAATAATTTCATGAGATTTTAAAGAATTTGGTAATGTAATAATTATCAATAATAATATAATAAATTTTATTTATAATGAAAATATAAAAATATATAAAAATATAAATTTTCTACAACTTATTTTTATCTTCAACTGAATAAACTTCATATTCTTCTATTTGAAATACATTTTGACTCCAATTACCCCCCTCAACACTTTCTTCATCACTATAATAATCATGTAATCTATTATTATTATTATTATTGATATTATTTAATTTAGAAAAAAGTATATTTCCACCATTTATATAACATTCAGGTTTACATTTAACTTCTTTATCATTTATTATTAGATCGGTTGTTCCAAAAGCTGGTCCAGAATTTCGATTAAAATTTAAAGAATATTTGGGATTTTCTGATCTACTAAATGTTGATTTTAATTTAAGTGGTGGAGATATGATATTATTATTATTATTATTATTATTATTGATATTATTATTATTATTGACATTATTATTATTATTATTGATATAATCATCATTATTAGTGTTGTAAATATTAATATAATCATAAATTTCATCATTTTCAATATTTTGATTTTTATATATAACAGATTGATTAAAATCATTATGAGAAGAATTTTCATCATCTACAGATATTGAAAATAAAAAACTATGATGACATTTTTCAAATTTTTTGATCCAAGGTGATTGCCAACTTAAAGGATTATATCCTCCAATTATTGTTCCATCCATTCCTTTAATTTTAATAACTGTAATTGTAGGTCCTTGATCATCACATCGTTTATGAAATATTTTATCACTAAATCCATGTCGTGTAGCTCTAAATAATAATTTAAATTTAAATGGAATATCTTGAATTTGATATGCTGCCTCTTCGGTTGATGATGAAAGATCTCGACCATTTATCCATCCCGAAATTAATGCAAATTCAAATCTAGAGATTATTTTAGATTTTGATATGGGTTTACTACTATGATGACGATGACGATGATGACGATGATGATTATTATTATTATTATCATTATTAAAACTAATACTATTTTTATTGTCATTATTATTATTTGAATTATTATTATTTGAATTATTTGAATTATTATTATTATTATAAAATGAATTTGAATTTGACATATCTATATCTAATATGTTTGGATTAGAATTTGATATATTTGATATATTTGAAGGTATAATAGGTGAAACTGAATTATAATTTGGATTCCTTTGTTGATAAAATGATGGGGTTAAATGAACTATTCGAAGTTTTTTATTTTCAATTTTATTATCGGAATTTCGAGTTGAAGTTGATGTAATTTCATTAGTTTTACCTTGATTTGAATTTTGTGTGTTTGAGTACAATGAAAATGGTGGAATTGAGACTGGTGGTTTTAGAGAAATGATTGAATATGTTGCGGGTCTATGAGTTTCAACTGATGTAGAAGCTTCAGGTGATATTGAATTTGGTTTTGAAGTTGTTGAATTATTCATTAGTGAGATTTTACGTGATAAGGTTGGTTTTAGTGATGAGGTTTGATGTGATGAAAGTGTTAAGGTGTGACGTGTTGTTGTAGGTAGACATGAATGGTTTAGAATAGATGAAGTTTTAGGCGCTGGGGTTGGAGGTTTTGAAGTTTCAAGTGGTGGGGTTGGAAGTGATGGGGTAGAGGATGGGGTTGGAAGTGGTGATGTGGATGAAGGTAATGGAACTAAAAATGGAGAAGAGGATGGAAGTGGAGAAGATGAAGGTATATTGGTTGAAGGTGGAGAAGATGAAGGTGTAATGGTTGAAGGTGGAGAAGATGAAAATGTAATGGTCGGAGGTGAAGATGAAGATGTAATGGTTGAAGGTGGAGAAGATGAAAATGTAATGATTGGAGGTGGAGAAGATGAAGATGTAATGGTTGAAGGTGGAGAAGATGAAAATGTAATTGTTGGAGGTGAAGATTTAATGGTTGAAGGTAGAGAAGATGGAAATGTAATGGTTGGAGGTGAAGATGAAGATTTAATGGTTGAAGGTGGAGAAGATGAAGATGTAGAGGATGGAAGTGAAAATGAAAAGGTTGGAATGTTAGAAGTTGAAGGTGGTGGAGGAAGTGGTGAAGTTGGAGGTGGAGTGGGTGGACTTCGATAATTTATAGGAGAAATTGAAGGGGTTGAAAATGGAATGCTTAATAATGGAGGAGGTGTAATAGGTGTGATAGGTGTGATAGGTGTAATAGGTGTACTAGGTGTGATAGGTGTTAACAAAGGTGAATTTTCCGTGGAAGATTTATAATCATCAGATTCAGCTTTATGGAATTTAAGTATTTCTTCATAAAGTGCATTTCTAAAAGAGAAGTTAAAGAATCAAAATATATATAAATTTATATAAATTTAAAATAAATATACAATAATAAGCAAAAAAAAAAATTTTTTTCTTTTTTTTTTAACTTACGGTAAAATTGGTTTAAAAGGTTGAACTTTTTCTATAAAATCATTATAACTCATATTTTTAAATTTAATTAATGGAAATAATTTAAATAAAGTTTTTTGTAAATTCATGAAATCGTTATTATTCATTTCTTCAATTATCAATAAAATATTTGTATGTCGACTTTTTTTTGTCATTTCCGAATTTTGTTTAATTCCCCAATTTAATATTTTAATCCAAATTTCGCTTTCTTCCATTACTAAATAATCTTTTTTAAGTAACGAAATCATCATATCTAAAGTTAAAGTACTATATTGAGGAGAATCAAATAAGATAGAAGGTTGAGTAGATAAGATAGATTTAAGATAAAGTTGAAGTTTTTTAAAAGTGGTGGGACGGGAATAAAGCATTGAGTAAACACGAACAAAATTATTTTGAATCCATTTTTGACGATTTTGAACTAAATAATCTTGAAGATTATCTAAAAGTTCATAAAGCCATAAAATGTCAGCGGCTAAAAGAAAATCCAAAAGTTTTTGAGTATCAAATGTTCCTACATTTATTTCACCACTATACAAGAATCTAAATAAAATAAAAAATAAATAAATAACATTTATAAAATAACAACATTTATAAAGAAAGATAAAAATAATAGACTTACTTTAACATAACTTCAAATATCTCGGGTGAAATATTTGTTTGATTCCATTCAGCTAAGAGTAAACAAGAATTATTGCTATTACTATTATTATTTTTATTAAAATTATTATTAAAATTATTATTAAAATTATTATTAAAATTATTTTTATTATTTTTGTTGTTGTTGTTGTTGTTGTTGGTGTTGTAATAACTATCAATAACAGGATTACTTTGAATAAAGAGTTTACTAGACAACACAGCTCTAAAATATAAAGATCTAGATCTAAGAATATTTGTATGAGCTTTGAAAGTTTTGGTGTTTGGAATTTCTCCAGTGTGTATTAAAATGTTATGATCGTTGGAATCTTCAAGAAGCCAACTTAAATCACGAGATAATCCTGATAATAATTCTACTTCCATTTTTTTTTTCTGGGGTATTAATGGATTTCTTGTATATTACGCAATTAATAAGATTAGTTATGCTATTATTTAAATTAAAGTTATCTGAATTTTGTTATTTTAATTAAGGTTGCCTGAATTTTAATTTTTTGAATTTTTGATATTTTACTCCACGATATCAATGAACGATGATCAAAAAGAAGAATTAAATAGTTCAAAGAGTGTAGATTCCTCCTATCTCTTGTTCTTTGTCGAAAAAAAAACAAAATCAAATAAAAATAATGACTATGGCGGTAATACTATATATATATATATTATTCGATCATAAATGAAATGAATTCGTTTTATTCAAGTTATCGGGGTTGACTTTATTAAGAAACTAATTTAAATTTTCAATCATCACATGGAAAAAAGCCTAATAAACTATTTTATAATAATTTCATTTTATAAATTAATTGCCACTCAGTACAACTATGTCTGCTCGGCGAATTCTACCTTAATAATCTAATTCTATTAGTGTTGAAAATGAAAAATGAAAATTTCATAAATTTAAATAATTTTCATAGGGTTTAAAGCAATTTATAAAATATTTTGAATTTCTTTTTTTAAAAAAAATCAAATTAATTGCTGATTCTCCAAAGAACTATCGAGAAAATTGGGGTTAAGCTATTTAATATAACTATAATATAGCTTACATCTGTTGGGCGCAAAAGTATTATAAAAATAAAAATTTTAAATTGATTTTTTTCAACTTATAAGAAAGTATCTTTTTATTTTTTGAAAAATTTACCATACTTTTTACAAAAAAATGTTCAAATTACTAAAATTTCTTCTATGATTGATCGTATTGTGACAATATGATTGTATTGTGATAATTTATACTTACCTATACACTCTTTTACCCCGAATTTTATTATAAAATGATCGACAAATGGCGTCGATATTAGACGGATTAGCGATTTATTAAGTGATATATATATAATGTCTAATTATAAATTTTTAGAATTACTTTATTTTGGATGAAATCAATGAAATTCACCACTCCAAATATCTGGTTTTGCCTATCATTTTCTATCATTTTGTACTGTTACGTTAAGTGGCAATTAATTCATTTTTAACGTAATTTACGTATTAAAATCCCAAAAATATTATTAATTTAAAATAATCCTAATTTGAATATACAAAAAAAAGGGTAATTACTAAAACATATAAAAGAAATCTGTAAATGGATGGAAAAAGAAAAAGAAAAATCCAAATTAAGATACGGGTGATTAATTTCTGTTAATTTATAAACATATATAAACATCAATTTTGACATTGTTATTAATTAAAATATACATGAAAAAAATGGAAGAAATCTTCGAAAATCCAAATATAAGAAATGATCCAGTTTCTATTGAAATTGATGATGATGATGACACATTATCCGGAAAAGGTTCATCTATATCACCAGATGAAAAAATTAAATTTAATTCAAGTACAACTTCATTTAGGCTCTTTGAAAGACTTTCGGATTCTTTTTCCCGTAAAAAAAGTGAAAAAGTAAAACACTCAGACTGCGAGAATGTCACAAATGAAATTCATGTAATTTCAAGTTCATCTGATAATAAATTTATAGCTAGTTGGTGTAAAAAGGATGGGTTATTAGCGGTGTGGCCAATTGAAAAAAATCGCAAAAAATTACATCCAATATTTGCAACGATAACACCTTTTAATGAATCGAATTCTTCAGATTCCCGACTTTATCTTTCAGTATCAGAAGAAGGAGATTATGTTGCTATTTCAAGAATTAAAATTATTCAAGAAACTTCAGAATCGCCAAATATGGAAACTAACACGATTAATTCGAAAAAACTTAAAGAAAATGTTAAATTTTCATTTGTTGTTTATTCAACTTTTGTAAATTCAATTAATCGAGATGATATAAAATTAAATAAGTATGAAATAACAAGTCCATTATTTTTCATCAAAGGTTCTAGATTAGCTTTTTTTACAGATAATGAAATGCATATTTATTCAACTAAATCTTGGAAAATGATTCGTGCTATTGCTTTAGAAGCATTGGTACCGATAAGAATGGATGAAGCTGATATACCCCCAGATTTCTATTTTGCTGTTTTTAGCAATATGCTTATGAATTCTTTAAAATATGGTCATTTATTAATTCCTGAACAACATGATTCACATAATGGAATAAGTTTATGGGATTTGGATGGTACATTGAAACAATGGTTCAATGTTAATTCAGGGAATGAATACATTTTCGATGTATGCATTATATCAGAAGATGGAGATTTAATAGCGAGGTACTACAATAATTGTATTATTATTATTATTATTATTATTATTATTATTATTATTATTGTTTTATTTAATATTATGTGCTAACGTTACTAATTATTACATTATAGATTGATCAGTGAATCAGATACCATCGTTGTTTATCATACATATACGGGATTAATGATAAAAGAATTCACAGTTCCCAAGAATACCTTTTATATTGCATTCCGTCCTAATACGTATCAAATTATTGTATGTTCGCGCAACAAAAAATCGAAATATATTCTCACTCAATTATATTGCTGTTGGAGTGGTTATGTCATGAAACAAGATTCCTATTTAATTGACAAGGAAAAAGATGATCAATTATTATTCGTGGATGATAATTTTATACAAATAAATAATAATGAACTTGAATTACTTCCATTTTTTCCTCCTAACATATCAAAATTAAGAGTTGAGCCTTTATTTAAGAAGAGTGAAGAAAGTAATCCATCTAAAACTCTTTTACTTAATATTATAATAGATGAAGATTCTCAGCGATCTATATGTTGGTGCAGAATTCTTAATAATGAAAATAAAGAACTTTGTAGATTTAAATTTGAACCATGGAGATATTATGAAACTTGTGAAATATTTTTAAAATGGTTAGACGATAACCGATTTCTAATCGTGGGAGTAGATAGTGCACAAATTTATAGTCTTAAAACAAAAGGTTCATTCCTTGAAGTAGAATTAAAATATATATATATAGCATTAACTCAAGATATTCAATCGGCTTCATTTAAAATTTCGGATGATAATGACGATGACAACGATGATGAATTGAAAGAAGAGAATGAAGGAATAGATAAAAATAATTATTTGTTATTAACTTTAACAGATAATCATGCAGAAAAAATTTTAATTCCATCTAACAAAGAACATAATTGTAATAATGTTCGGTTACTTTTGGACGCGTGTGCTTCATTATCTTTTTTAAGATCACAATACGAAAGATCTAGTGACATTTCACATTTTAATCGCGTTACGATTAGTAAACAAGTAAAAAGATTAATTGAAAAATCTTTAACAAAATATCCTTCAGCTTTTACCAAAATTTATATGTACGGACAACATATTTTTCCAGTTCGTGATTTCATTTTAATTGGTTGGGATGATATAGTAGAAAAAGTTCTTAAAGAAGATCAATATATTCCTCTTTTTCATGAGGATGATAAAACTGAAAGTGCTTTATCATTATTAGTTAAACTTCAAAAATCTGAATTATTAAATACAATGGTTTCATATATAATAAAACATGTACATCAAAGACAAGCTACTAATTTTTCATTGCGTCAACCAGGATTTGCTTTGACACTAGGAAATACAATATTAGAATTATATAAATATTGTCCTGATATAGGAATCATGGCATTAAAAGAAATTAGTTATTTAACCATATCATCAGAAACAAATACTAGAATTTTAGAAACAGAATTAAAAAAAGACGAAAGAACTAGTCATCATCAATTAAAAGCAGTTGGAGTAAATTCTCAATTAACAAAAAGTTTTGATTTATATAAAAAAAAAAAAGCGTTTTGGAACTTTATTAAAAAATCAACAATCAAAGAAAATTTTTTAGATAGTTTTTCATCAGCCAGTAATAAGAATTTAACATTTTACGAAACAAATCAAGGGAATCAAATTGGTAGAAAAATTGATGGAAAAACTATAAAAAAACAACCATTATCAAATACACTGAAAACTCATCCAGCAAAATTATGTGTAGTTCCCTTGCCAAATCTCTGTGTCTATCCGACCATAAATGATGATTTATCTTGGTTTGAAAGATTCTGGGAACTATATATTAGAACGAGTCATTTAAGCTCATTTGCAAAAATTGCTTTCGACGGACCACCTGAGATGTTTGATCAAGTAGCAATGGAAGCGATCGTAAAATATAAATGGTATGTGCATGTTATTTATTTTGTGAGTGCGTTATTTATTTATATTCACGCGATTATTTATATTATTGTTAAATTATTTTTAGGGAAAAATTCGCCCGGACACGATTTATGATGTCTTTTTTATTTTATCTAGTTTACGCGACTATTTTCTGTATAACTATCAGTAATAATAATGATATGGTACCTGGTAGTTCACATGACATACGATTTTATTTTTTCTTATTAATATCAATCATGGCGATTTTATCCCTTTTACAAGAATTTCGTCAAATTATTGGATATCAGAAAGATTATTTCTTTAATTTATCTAATTACGTAGATTTAATTTCTTATATATTCCCATTAATTACCAGTATAATGGTAATAGTGATTGAAGTTGAACCACCCGAGTGGTTAAAAAGTTATTCGATATTGATGGTGTGGTTAAATGTATCATTATATTCTAGAGCATTTTCTGGACCAGGAAAATTTATTGTAATTGTAGTTCAAATTGTAAAAAGGATTTATTTAATGATTATAACTTTGGCATTTATTGTTGCTGTATGTATAAAATTTTATACTATTTTATACTATTTTATACTGTATACATTTTATGCTGTTGTATGCTCACACTTTATACTTCTTATTCACACTTTCAGAGTTTCGCAAATGCATTATTTGTTCTCTTACGTGACGATCAAGTAATGGAACGTCTGAAAAAAGAAAATGAAGGAATAGAAAACGAATGGACAACTTATCTAAGTTCATTATTTGCGACTTGGAAATTTTTGGGAATTGGTTGGGATTCTATAACGGTTTTTGAATCTAAATGGTCAACTAGCATTATGATGTTATTGTTTAGTAAGTTATATATATATATATATATATATTATTTATTTATTTATTTATTTATATTTATATTTTTTTAATACTTTCTGATTGTTAAGGAGAAATAGATCATTAACGAGAAATATATATTTGCTTTATAAATTTTTTAGGTTTCTTAACAGTAATTGTTCTATTAAATGTTCTAATTGGTTTCATAACTGAAGTATTTAGTGGCAATTTACAAGTAGAACATCAAATATGGTTAAGACAACGAGCGGAAATAATTGCAGAAATTGAAATATTTTTATTATTACCTTTCGAACGTCAACGTAGTGATTGGTTTCCTCGTTTAATATATTACGAATGTCATTTAGATCAAATAAAACAATGGAAAACTCAATTATCTCAAGAAGAATTAAATGTTGAGTTTATTAAAGGGGAATTAAAAATCATAAACGATAATTTGAATGAAAAATTAATTATATTAAACGAAAAGATTGATAGATTGAATAAAATCGAAATATATGATTAAAGAAATAATATAAATAGTAATAATGGTGTATTCTTAATTGTAATATGTAACGATATAATAATAATAATAAAATAATAATATTACGAAAATTTACTTCACACAATATTTCTTCTTTAAAAGTATTATGTAACTTTGTAACATTTTGAAAAACTTTACAGTTTAGAGATTATAAAATTTTCAACAAAGAAAATTTTTTTAGAATGAATAATAAATTGGATAGATTGGATAAATTGTATTATTTTCAGTTATATTCACATTCATCACATCATCATTATTTCTTTTATTACTTAAAATCACAATAAAAAAACATATATATAATGATAAAAACAATAATAATAATAATAATAATAATAATAATAATAATAATAATAATAATAATAATAAATTGATTCATCTTTCTATATTTTCTATATCCAAATTTATGGTTATTAATTTGCAGTAATAATAATTAATTACTGTATTCATTCAAGATTTGGAAATATCTCTTCCAAATACAAATCTCTAAATAAATATAAAATATGATAAATAATAAATTAAATAAATATCATATAATATAAAACATAATAAATCTAATAAATATAATAATAATAAAACAATAAATAATAAATAAAATATCACAAACCTTAGTCCAATCCAAAAATAATAAAGCTCTAGTTCTAAAACTAACTTGTTCACTAAAATAAATACTTCTCCATAAATAAACAGCACTCCAACCACCCATCCAAGTATAACCCATTCCAAAATCTGCCACAGCAGCATTACCTATATAAGCTAAACTACCTAAGTGGGCATAATTAAAAGGGTCTAACTTATCATCAAGATCAGGATTTGAAGGAGCTAATGCTAATTGATTTAATTTCTTACCTAAATACTTACCTTGTTGATGTGCAACTTGTGCTGTCTAGAAATGTATTATAAATATTAATTAAATTATAAAATATTTTAATATTAAGTAATAGAAATTTTGGTATTTTACCGCTGGTAATGAAGTGAGTCTTTTATCAATATTTTCAAGCATATCTCTTAATTCATTTAATTCAAGTGTACCTTTTATAATAAATAATAAATAATAAATTATAATAATTATAATAAATAACAATATAAATAATAAATAATAATTATGATTATAATAAATAATAATATAAATAATAAATAATAATTATGATTATAATAAATAACAATAAATAATAAATAATCACAAATAAATTATATATATGAATACATTACCACTTTTATCCTTATCAAATTCTTTAAACAAATTATGGGCTTTTCTTAAATGACTAGAGGTTATTGGATAACTTTTACTAATCTTTTTAACCAATTTAGAGAATTCATCATAACCCAAAACTCCATCTTTATTTACATCTGCATCTATGAAAAATTTCATTAATCCTTCAACCAATTTAGGATTTTCTACAGTTGAACAATCTCCGATAGCATAGATTGATGAATCCTTTATTCCTTTAAGACGTAATCTATTATCCGTAACCAATGCTCGTTTATTCTTTTGTTCCGGTAATTTTGATGATATTTTTTCTGCAAATGGAATCATGCTAATTCCCGTGGACCATAAACAGAGTCCATATTCTAATTCTTTTTCTTCATTTGTATTCTTCATCTTATATAAAACATGATCTTTTTCTATTTTTTGTACACGTGCATTAGTAATAACATTTATATTATCACGTTCAAATTTTTTCTAGAAATAAAATAAAATAATTCCATATATAATAATTTAATAATATAATAATAATTATATAATAATAATAATAATTAAATCTCTCACCTCTGCAAAATCACTTATTCTTTTATCATAAGTATTCAAGATGTGATCTGAACTTTGAATAATGCTAACTTGTACTTCTTTCCTAAGAGCTGCGGGAAACTATTTATTAAAAAATTAATTAAAGGGAAGAAAGAATATTAGAATATAATACTGTCAATATTGTAAAGTACAATAAGTATAATAAGTGTAAATACTCACATATCTAACTAAATCTTCTGTTAAAAAGTCATATAATTCTGCTGCAAATTCGACACCTACAAGAAAATGATAATAATATTAAATAAAATATAATTGGAATAAAAAAAAAAAAAATCAATAATTTTAAAAATTCATCTTACCAGTAGGTCCTTTGACAAAATTATTAATAAATATTAATTAATATTAGATGATAATAATAATAATAATAATAATAATAAATAATACATGATACAAAAGATATAAAATATATAGTTATATATAATCACATACCTCCACCACATACAACAAAACTTAATAATCGTTTTCTTTCTTCAGGAGTTGTTGTTGGTAAAGAAGCTAACTCAAAATTATCCATAATTTTTTTTCTTATGGTACGAGCATCATTTATAGTTTTTAATGAATGACAATATTGAATGCCTTCAATTCCATGTGTAATAGATTGTGATCCAACTGCAATAACAAGCTGGATTTATTTTTTTTTTTCCATAAAATAAAATAAACAAATAAAACAAAATAAAATTAATAAAATAATGAAATAATGAAAATAATAAAATAAATAAATATCTTTTCAAAATATTAATAATAACAATAAATTACCTTATCATAAGGAACATAAAAAGATTTCACTTCTTTTTCTTCTCCATTATAAGGAAGAGAAGTTACTTCAACCAATTTGTCATTAAAACAAACATCAGTTGCTGTAGCTTCTAAAAAAACAGCATCAACACCTTTAATTATACTACGAATAGGTTCCATTAATGATCTAATAAGAAGATTATGAATAATAATAAGAAAAATAATGAGAATAAGAAAAAGAAATAAATAAAAATTATCAAATTTCAAATTATTATTATTATTATTATTATTAAATAAATAAATAATTAATTTAATATAATTTCCAATTTACCTACTCTCGAGCGTACCAACAGTTGCTGAAGGAAGTAAAGGTCTATAAAAAAATATATTATATTAGAAATATAAATACAGAAATGTGTAACTGAATATATATATATTAAAATAAAAACTTACGTGAAGAGAAAATAATTTCTGTAAATAGAATGAATAATTAATAATATTATAAAGAATTAGGTAAAGGAATTAGGTAAAAGAATTAGGGTAAAGAATTAGTAAAGAATTAATTATGAAAATTAGTAAAAGGAATAAAGTAAATGGAAAACAACTTACTGAGGAGAAATTACAGTTATATGATATTTATCTTTCTCTAATTCTTTAATCACTGAAATTGCCTAAAGAATAAAGAAAAAAAGAAAAGAAAAAGAAAAAAAAAAAAAAAAATTCAATATTAAATTCATTATTGTATATTTTATTTAAATTCCATAATTATTATTTATATTTATCTATTAACACACATACCCCCCACCCAGATCCAAGAATAATCAATCTAGGTTTCTTATTTTCATCATTTAAGTGAGAAATAATTTTTAACATTTTAGGTCCTCCGATTTTTACATTTAATAATGATGAACCATCATTGAATTCTTGTTGTTGAGAAGGAGAATTCGAATATTTTTGATCTAATTTAATAAATAATATTGTAGCAACTACCATTGAACTTGTTAATAAAAATATCCGTCCCCATTTTCTTGTTTTTTGGGGGGGAGGAGAAAAAGAAGGAGGAGGTGGTGGTGGTGAAGAATTTGAAATTTTTTCTTTGATAGTATTTGAAGTATCTGAAGTAGTATTACTTTTATCTAAAGTAGTACCATTTTTATCCGAAGCAGTAGTAGTTGTTGTTGTTGTATTATTTTTATTTGAAGTAGTAATAGAAGAATTATATCTTTGAAAATATTTTGTAGAATTCCATTTATAACTTTGTTTAATTTGTGTTGATATTGATAATGAAAAAGATGAAGTGGATATAAATGAAGAATTGGATATAGAATTGGGTATTGGATTTGATAAAGAATTGGATAAAAAAGAGGAATCAGTTAAATAATTTTTATATTTAACATTTTTAATATTTTTTTTAAGAATGTTAATCATTTTTTAAGGTAGTTAAATGAATTGATGATTTTCCGCTAAAAAAAAAAAAAAAAAAAATTTTGTGCTCAGATTATTTTTATGAGTATCTCCAAAATTACTCCTTTCCGCACCGCATTGATTCTTCATTACCACCAAACTACGAGATAACAGTTATAGATGTTAAATTCTTGAGTTTCACCAAATCTCAATATCACTAACTGGTGATGATGTGATGCTAGTAATATTGAGAAACTGTGATATTGGTGAAACTGGTTCACCAGTTTCACAAGAACGCGAAAATAAATATCTTATCTATAAAAATTAAAAGTCGCGCGAAAATAAAATCTACAATAATTACAAAAGGTTTTATAATATAATAACTAAAATTAAGTGATAAAAACGATTTTTAATTTATTATATACAAGATATTTTATATTTTAACACAAAATTCTTAAAGCATGGGATTTTCATTCAGACTATTTGAAAATCCTTTCTCATGGAACGGTCGTGCAACAAATAGTAAAAAAGTATTAAATATAAATGTGGTGTAGTATAACTAAAAGTGTGAAACAAAGAATTTTTACCATTTATTATTTTCAACTTCCGAATATATATATATTTATTTTTTTTCTTTGAAAAAAATTTTTTTTTTTGAATATTTTAAACATTCTTTTAAACCGTTTCTAAACATTTTTTAAACGTTCCAAACATTTTTGAGAAAATATGGAAAAAAGTTCACTTCTTTCGGCTTTAGCTGATAATACACTTGTTAATATTATCGAAAGAAATCGATGTATAACTGAAAATATTGAATATCCTCATGAAGAAATGATTCATAAAAACTTGCAAAAACTTGAAACTGGAATTAAAGAATTGGATCGAGAATTATCAATTGCTGAGGAGTCAGGGACTCTGTATGTGAAAAGTTTTTTGAATTTTTTTTTGTTATTGAATATTGTTATTCTTTAATATATATATTATTTTTTTAAATGATAAAATAATTCTATAATGTAATATGATATTCATTATTTTTTTTAGGAGTTCCAAGAATCTCAAAGGAAAAGAAGATGCACTTATCAAATTAAAAAATCAATATGAAAATTTGGAAACTTTGATCCATGATAAAAATGATAACCTTATTTCTAATAGGAAATCATTGTTTGAACGTGATAATAATAAACCTCAAACCTCAACTTCTAGTTTAGCTTCATCCAATAATAATAATGACAATAATAAATCAAAATCAAAATCAAAAACTGTAAGATTTTCAGATCAAACAATAATAAAAACCGATGATCTTGATAATGCTCAAGTTTTACAATTACAAGAGAGAATTATAACTGGTAAATTGTTAATTGAAAAAAATTTATTATTATAACATTATTATTTATTATAACATTATTATTATTATTATTATTACTTATAACATTATTATTATTATTATTATTATTTATTTATTTATTTATTTATTTATTTATTATAGATCAAGATCAAAATTTAGATAGATTAGATGCAGCTATAGAACGTCAACGAGAGTTAGGTTTGATGATAGGTGAAGAATTAGATTATCACATAGAATTATTGGCAGATACAGAAGATATGGTGGATAATACTGATGGAAGATTAAATAGAGCAAAGAGAAGTCTGGTAAAATTTTCTAAAGAATCAAAAAAGAAGGGTAAATTAATATCTTTATATATATGCGTATATGCAATTTCTTAGTGTTATATTTAATATTAATATTAATATTATTTATTTATTTACTTTTTTTTTGTAATTCTAGGTTCAGCTTGTGCAGTCATTCTTTTAATGCTTATTTTATTCTTAATCTTAATTATCCTTCATTCATAATTTTATTCTTTATTATTTATTTATTTATTTATTTATTTATTTTTAGACTTGACATATAATCATTATTATTTTTTTTTAATATAATAATATAATTTAATGTATTATATTATAATATATTATATTTATTAATTACACCTATCTTTACTAATGAAATAATAATAATTATTATATGAAAGAATGTTATTATTATTGTTAATAGTATGTAATTTTTATTATTATAATAATAATTATTATTATTATTTAGCAATAATAATTAAATATTTTAAAGGAGTAAATAATTATAAATAATTTTTTTAAATGAAAAATTCTTTATTTGTTAATAAATAATTGTTGTAATTATTTTCTATTTTTTTTCTTTATTTTTTATTTTTTTATTGTTAATATTATTGTAATTATTATTATTATTGTTAATATTACTATTCTTCTTATTCTTCTTTTTATTATTATTATTTTTTCTTTCTACTGTCCGAAGATTATCATCATTATATATTTTACCATCATCAATTATATTATTATTATTACTTTTACTACTACTATTATTGTCATTATTCAAATCTGTTTCCAAAATTTTTCGTTTCTTTTCATTGATTTCTTTTTTTGCACCGAAATTTGTGTCATGAAGATGCTATGATAATAAATAAATTAAAATGAATTAATTGATTTAAATAATTAAATAAATAAATTGATAAATAATTAAATAAATTAGATAATAATTAAATAAATTAAATAAATAGATTATCAAAGAAATATATCAAAGAAAGCGGCAACAATAATACTATTGATTATCATGATTATTTTACTTACTATCTTTGCCACCCGTTTTGCTGTACTGATTTCATTTAAACTCGCTAATATTTTATTTTCATTAATTTTCCATTGATCCATTTTCTTATTTATTCTAGTTTCTATATTTTGTACAAGTTCAATATCACTTTCGGTAACAATTGATAATGAAATACCACCTCGACCTATAGAAAAATTATTATTTGTAAAAAAATTAATTTAGAAAAAATAATTCTAGAGAAATGAAATAATATTACTTTATCATAGATAATAATAATAATAATAATAATAATTACCAGCTCTAGCCGTTCTACCAACTCGATGAATATAATCTGTTGGGTCTCTTGGAATATCATAATTAATTACCGTTTGTACTGTTGGAATATCCAATCCTCTAAAATATCAAAATAATAAATATTTATATTTATTTAATTATATTTATATTTATATTTAATTGTTTGTTTTTTCTCCTTACCGACTTCCAACATCAGTAGCAATCAAGATTTTAACAATTTCCGCTTTAAATTTTCCTAAACTATTTAATCTCTCTCTTTGACTCATTGATGAATGTAAACTAGTACATCGAATATCTAATTCTACTAATATCACTCGTAATAATTCTGCAGTTTTACATCGACCACAAAATATTATTGTTGATTTATCTTTAAATTCTTCGGATCTTAATAAATGAACTAAATATGGTTCTCGAATGTATGAAGGAATTAATATGTAATATTGTATTAAGGTTGAAACTGTTGATATGCTGAAAAAAAAAGATAAAATAAAACAAAATTTTTAATAATTTTATAATAATAATAATAATAATAATAATAATAATAATAATAATAATAATAATAATAATAATAATAATAATAATAAT